TGCTTGTTTTAATTCTGCTGCCAAACAAAAGAATCTATCGTGGCTTATTATTCATTATTTTTTCTACTTTTTTTTAGACTACCTGCAACACTATCTTTAGTAGAACACGGAAAAAAAATTGTAGAACAAATTTCTACAATTATACATTTTTTCCCTACAATAAATAGTACATATAGGAACAGAGACAATTTGTAGTAAAAATTTCCAAAGATTTGTAGAGAATGTATTGTAGAGTTATTATCTACAATATTTAGTAAAAATATCCAAATGCATCATAAGAATTGTTTTACAAATTGTTATAATTTTTGCTATTCATTGTATGAATTTATATTAAAAATGTATTGCGTTTTTTGAAAATAAATACGAAAATTTTACACAATAAATAGTAAAAATTCATACAAATTGTAGTAATTTTTAATAACATTTGTAGTAGTATTTTATAATTATTATAATTAATTATAACCTAGAAAAAATGTATCTTAATAAAATATTCAATTTATTGTTTTAATATAAAAGATATAAAATCTTAATTACATTATGTAATAAATAACAGTAATAATAGCTCCCTCAGTCTCAGTTGGCTTTTCTGCACCTGAAAAATATGAAATAAAAATTATTACCTATTGAACTGTTCATACCCTTAAAACGGGGATATTTATCACCTTTACACTGATTTGGTTATTAAATGACTAAGTCAGATAACTAACAAAAATAAGAAAGTAGGTATGTCACAATTAAGACAAAAAAACATCATTGAACTTGGCACAACATTCGATCGTTGGGCACAACATTCGATCGTTGACTACAACTATTTTTTTTTAAATAATCTACTAAGGTTATTTAAATTAGTTATCTAAAGGTAAATTATTCAGAAACAATAATAAATGTACTTACCACTAATAAAAGTTATTATTAAACATTTTTCAAACGCATCGGTGCTTATAATATAATAATGTGTTATAGGTACTCGTATATGTACCATGCTTTGTTTTGTGAACATGGCGAACGGCTACTGCTGTCTGGCCATTTATGATCGACGTCAGAAAACGTTGGCCAATAGCAGAATTCTGTTTTATTCACATGACTTAGAATTTCTACAATATAATAGAATATTTTTGAACAAAATTGAATTTTTTTCATAAGAAGGGATGTAAAGTATTACTATTTTTTGTAGAGAAAATTACTATTTTTTGTAGAGATAATTATTAATATTTGTACAAATTTTTACAGAAGTTAGTAGTAGTAATTACGATAATTGTAATAAATTTCTACTTCTACAAACAATAGTAAAATATACTAAACATTGTGGACTTCTTTCCTATTGTTGTAGCATTTTATTCGACAATTCAATTGCTACAATAATAAATAGTTTTTAACTATAAATTGTAGTAAAATTTTCTACAAAAAGTTATGTATTTTTCTACAAGTCTACTACTACAACATTGTAGTAAAATTTTCTAGTCACATTTTTTTCCGTGAAGTTAACGGTAGCTATCTATCAATTCTGTGTTCTGTATGATGGAAGATTCTAAAAAATATGGGTCGTCTGTCAGTTTATAACAGTCATAAAACATGTCTGTATCTATAACTATTTTTTCATTTCTTTTGTGAATAAACTATTCTCTGAAACCATCTTTATTATTAAAATAAACATCCATACACCGAAAACTTTTTTAATTTTTCGTGTTTACTTTATCGTATCCTGTATTAGCACATGGACATTCTGTTCTACAACTTTTTAAGTGATTATTATATTTTGAAAAGCATGCTTAATTTAAGTATTTTCTCTCAATTGTTGTTGATACTAATTTACATCTTCATTATTTGCATTTTCAATAGGTATATTAGGATACATAACATTCCAATCTACTGCTTTTCATGCATGCATTGCTTCAAGTTGAATCTTCATTTGGAATTTTCAACTTACAACATTGGAACATTTATATCCTGATAATATAACTTAACAAACTTATTTATAACCTATATTTTCTAAACTACAATGCTTACCCATAACCTCTTGATAAGAATATCCCAACAGAGGTAATTAGAAAATAAAAAAATACGTGTGGTACTCGGGGACTGCCGCGGTAAAGCTATTGCATAGCATTTTTTTATCAACTCATGCAATTATAATTATTTATTTATTTTATTAGTGCAGTATTTTTTTTTTCTTTGATATTAATTCAAGTTTTTTCTTTGATATTAATTCAAGTTACACTTTTTGAGCGTGGTGACCGATAAAAAAATAATTTTTTTTCTTATATTAAATAAATATGAAGTTAATATTGTTGTACTTATTGAAAAAAACAAAAAATAAATGTCCTATTTGTTTATCTTTTTGAATTTAATTTAACGAAGTCTCCACTGGTAGCTTGCATTTTTAAAATTAGCTAAACTTGAATGAACCTCGTTATGCGCCACTATGCATTGAATAAATATATACTTTTTAAAAACTAAACATTTTAAATTACCAAGACTGTGAAATAATGAAACAATATTTTTCATTTTCTTTTAAGAACAAAAAAAAAAAACAAAAAAAAAACTAAAAGTTTCGGGGCTCGAACCACCAACTTTGCTATCCATACTATTCAAATTTTGACGACTGTACGCTTTGCGCCACCGAGCACATTTTGATATAAGTTTGGAATCGTTTTTACTAATATATAACATTTGATTACAAATATTTACGAATTATTACTTTTTAATTAAACAAAAATAAAATGGAATCAAAATTTTATCATGTCAAATGATACCTACATTGTAATTTAATGAAATCACATAAATATATTATTTAATAACAATAGAAGTATCATTATTAGTTAATTTCTTGGTCTTGAATTGCATAAACGTTCCAGCCCGCAGACGTAAATTTAACTCCACTTCATATTATTACGAATAGGGTCGGATAAAACCTTCCATGGCTATAACGCCGTACAGCTGTGCCGGTCGGAGTGGGGGGTGTTAGGTTTTTTCGTTACGGTGTTACGAAATTTCTTGATTCGGTCGCCACTCAAAGCCCGCGATAAAAGCTATGCAATAGCTTAAAAAGTAAAATGTGGTTTAAATAAAAAATAAAAATTAAAGTACAAAGTGAAATTAATAATTTTTTTTACATACTATATATAAACAATACTAAATAAAAATAAATTAGATACCACTACTCGTTGATTATCGTTACTACTTCTAAATTAAAATTCTGTGATATTTGACACTACTCTTTGATAATCGTCACTATTCTTTAATAACAATCGTTATGATCTAGAACAGTTCTAAATAGCCCCACTCATACCTTCTAAATTTCCTTAAATTATAAGATAAAGCATTTGATTTAAAAGTTTTTGTACCTTTTTTTTTTTATACGTCCAAAATGTCTTCAATATTCATCTACCACACCAAACTTCAAAAATCTTCAATCACACTAACAATTTGGACCAAATTTCGCAACCTTATTGCGTATTATCGCGAACCAATTCTATTCCATTATTGTTGTTATCTATTCCATAATTATTGTTGTTATCATAGTGTTCCAAATTTGATTAGGGACAACTGGAGTACATTCGATAGTTCATTTGAATTAATTTGTGTAAATAATGGTTTTCGGTCGTATCTATAAACTTAACCCTTACAAACATGAAAATAAACCAGAATATTGTCAGAAATGTTATTTTATGTTATGGGGTATATAATATATAAATTTATGCGCTCAATATTGTATCTGATATGTATCATTTTAATTAGTTAGTTACCATAATCAGCCAATAAAGCTGGTGCATTGATATTGTAATTTTACTGTTAACTGAAGTGAATTGCTGCTGGTGGTCATAAATTTGACGAGTTTTTTAGAGGATGATGAGATAGTAAAACAGTAAATATCTCAAAGCAATTATTTCGAAAGATGGTGCAAATAGAGATTGGTACAAGTCGTCATCGTGTGCACAAACCAAACAAAATTGTAACGGTGAAGTCACGCTGCTAGGCTAGAGGACAGAATTTGATATCCATAGGTGGAACAGAAGGGATAAAAAGTAACAATGTTATTCATATCTCAAAAGTTGTATTTCCAATAAGGATAATGAAACACAAAGTCCTAACCACAATAATAATTTTATTTAGATGTGACTACTTTTAGTCAAACGACTATCATCAAGGTAACTCAAGATAAATCATCCTGTCGATCAGTGGATAAACTTAGTAGCTAATGGTCTTTTAAATTATTAAATTAGTATTAAAATGTTAGCTTTTCTTACGAAAGAACGAAAATATTGTTACACGCAATATGTTTGACACTACAAACCGTTTGCTGTCTGGCGGTTCTTAAGAGTAACACAATTTTAAATTTCATTGAAATCGTAATGTAGTCGTTTAGAAGTATCATTGACTAACGATACATCTAAGTACTAATAACTTTTTGCTGTAAGAACAGAATATTTGTAGATATTGCTAAGATAGTTAAGACATTTAGACCCTGTCCAGTATAAATTTTATTTTCGAAAGTCAGTCGTAGCTCAGACTTCAAAGAGTAAAAGTGTGTGATTACTGTTAACGAATAAAAGTAAAGTTTCCAGTGGCGTGCCATGGCTATTAAACGAGAAAATAGAATGGTTTTAGACTTCAAAAATGTTAGGAAAAAACCTCCTAATATTAGTGTTCACCGTTGGATTAAACAAGTATTTAATTTCACCAATGATCAACTGGAATGTATGCAGTTTGATCACATTCGTTCAAAAGTTTTTATTAAAGTAATATCTGAGTGGTTGGTAAAAAAAGCAATTCAAAAATTTGAATCTGGGAAATTAATTTATACAGATGAAGAACAAGAATATGAAATTTATATAAGCGAAGAATCAGATGATATATAGAAAGGAATTTACGATTTTCCTCCATAACTAAAGAACTCTAAGATAATCGAACATTTTGGTAAATATGTAATTGTAAAAACCATTCAAAATGAAACTTGGTCGGGTGATGATTTACATAATGTGGAAAGTGGCGTGAGATCAATGTTAATTTCTAAAAAAAAAAAGATACCATCTTACGTTACAATCGAGGGGACTACTTCGTTGGTCACGTATAAAAATCAAGAACGTACATGCATGTTTTGCGATAATCCTGGACATGAAAGAAGGGATTGCCGAAACAAACCAAATAACAGAATAATTGTAATTAGAAGACTAGACGCCGCGATACCAGATGCCGCGGTGCCAGATGCTGCGGTACCAGATGCTGCAGTACCAGATGCTACGGTATCAGAAGAGGTAAATGCTTACATGGCTATATCCCACAAAGATACAAACATCAGTCAGGCAGGTATGGAGAAAATCTCAAAGTTTATAACAAATGAAATTACGCATCATGATGATGCTAATTCTGACTCAGAAAACCAAATGTTTTCTAAAAACACCCTTGCAACACCTATCGCAGATATTTAAACAACAGAAGATCATAGTGCATTTCCAAACATAATTGTTGGAAGTTAACTCACTTTATATGAAGTGTTCTTGTCAGCACCCTATATATTGTTTTATAGAAGTTTGTGGTTGTCACTAATTTTATCATTTGAAGTTGTCATATATTTTTACATAAAATAAAGTATTTACCAATATTCGTTAAATTAATAAAAGTATCATCCATGTTAACGAAATAGGCTATCGCCGGGTAGGTTATAGCTCTATTCAAATCATTTGGCGACCGTGACAGGACTGGAAGATATTTTTTGAACATTTAATTTGTAAATCATCTCATGGAGAAGCTTCTAAAAGCGCAATGTTCTCACAGGACTGCCTTTGAACGAATATTGGATGAAACGATTAAACTACTACGAGATGGTCAGGATATTTTTGAGATACAAGCTAATATTAGAGTCCTTGATAATAAAAATGAAATTTTGACCAAAATTCACAAATATGTAGTAGATTTTATGTTTGATAACGATTTTGCCGATGAAAAGATTGATGACCAGATGAAAAATGCTGATTATTTGACAAGCAAATTACAAAACTTAAAAATTAGGGTTGAACATCTAGTAACTAAAGATTTTGCTGAAAAAAGTAGTATAGTTAGCCGGTCTAGTTCTTCTAAACATAGAATGAAACTTCCAGTTATTGAACTAAACAAGTTTGGAGGAGAAATTACCGATTGGTTACCTTTTTGGAGCCAGTTCAAAAGAATACATGAAGATGAATTACTAGACAATGAAGATAAATTTCAATACTTGATTCAGTCAACAGTTCCAAAATCACGAGCTCGATCGTTAGTTGAAAGTTACCCACCAACTAGTGAGAATTACAGTAAGGTAGTCGAAAGTTTGGAATCTCGTTTCGGAAGAGCTGATCTGTTAATTGAAGTTTACGTTCGCGAATTATTAAAATTGGTGCTGGAAAATTTGAACGGAAAATTTAAAATAAGCTCTTTGTATGACAAATTAGAATCCCAATTAAGAAATCTAGAAACACTCGGTGTAACATCAGATAAATGTGTAGCCATGTTATACCCATTGGTAGAGTCCTGTTTGCCTGAAGAAATTTTACGTGCTTGGCAAAGAAATGTGGAATTTTCTTCTGATTCAAATATAAAAACTCGTTTAGACAAATTGATGCTGTTTTTGAAAAAAGAAGTGGAAGGAGAAGAAAGAATAAGCCTAGCTGCTTCTGGTTTTGATTTACAGAAAATGAAAAAGAAAGACATTTCAGATTTCTCGACTTCTAAAAATACGCCAACAGCTGCTGGTTTAGTAAATCAAAGTAATCCAAAATGCGTTTTCTGCAAACTTGAGCATTTAAGCATTAATTGTTCTGAAGCATTAAAATTATCGCATACTGAAAAAAAGAAGGTGTTATCACAGAACGGATGCTGTCATCTGTGTTTAAAATTTGGCCACATTTCCCGTAAATGTCGTAGTGTCGCAAAATTGAAGTGTAATAATTGCAATGGTAAACATGCTACAGTTATGTGCTTCAAAAATGAACAAAATAAAAATGTTTTGCCTGCTAAACCCCCACAAGTCGAAAATTTGTCAAATCAGGCATCTTACCAACAAGTTTTTCTTCAAACATTGTTAGTGCAAATAAAAAACAAAACAAACGTAAGACTTGCGAGAGCTATTATAGACACAGGATCACAGAGATCCTATATTTGCAAACATACGGCATTAGAGATGGGATATGAACCAATTAGAGAGGAAGAAATGATTCATGCACTCTTTGGTGGTTATAAGTCAGAAGTCGTAAAACATACATGTTATCGAATTAACCTGAAAAGCCTAGATAATCAATATGAATGTACATTTGAAACTTTAGACCGAATGGATATTAGGAAGAGTGGAAACCATTTTTCCTGGTAAAGATGGTAATGTTCGAGTCGTGCAATTGAAAACTTCGTCTGGACAACTTTTAAGACCTATTCAAAGATTGTATTTATTAGAGATGCACGAAGAAATACAGAGTAGAAATGCGATTGTACATAAAAATAAGAATACCCCACAGGAATCTCATGATTCTGAAGATACTTCACAAATTTCTATAGAAGACAAAAATAAAGAAAAAGTTATATATTCAAGATACGGTAGGAAGATACAACCACCTCAAAGACTCGGTATATGATTTATTGTTAAGTAATTTATATTTTCAGAAAATTCCTTAAGGTGGGAGAATGTTGGAAGTTAACTCACTTTATATGAAGTGTTCTTGTCAGCACCCTATATATTGTTTTATAGAAGTTTGTGGTTGTCACTAATTTTATCATTTGAAGTTGTCATATATTTTTACATAAAATAAAGTATTTACCAATATTCGTTAAATTAATAAAAGTATCATCCATATTAACGAAATAGGCTATCGCCGGGTAGGTTATAGCTCTATTCAAATCAATAATTATTCACAATCCCCCACAATATTAAACCTTGGCAACTGAAAAAGAGGCTGCCGATCTTACATCCCAAATCGATATTATTTCAGCGACTCCAGAAAACATGAACAAAAAACTGAGAAAAAGAGAAAAAAGAAAGAAAAGTCTAGTGAAAGCTCGGGCAAAGAAGAAAGAAAAGTTCCAAAGTTACAAATTAATTTAAAAAATCAAAGTAGTCAAATAATTGATGAAAGTGAAGATAACATAAAGGAAAATAATGAAAGCGATACCGAAATGAGCGACTCTGATTTATTCTTTTAGGTATACATAGATATTTATTTTATTTTATCTTTTAACATAGTCACAAAATTATATACAGTTTTATCGGTAAATTGTAGCTCGCTTAAAAATCCGACTAAACAAGGTCTCTTTTTTGATTTCATTCGAAAGCATGATATTGATATTATTTTTGTACAAGAATTAAACATTGACTTTTTAAAATTTTCCTATGGATATAATATGATTCTAAATGTAGGCAACGCAAATAGAGGGACAGGTGTTATTTATAGAAATGGGTATGAAGTTAAAGATATTATTTGTTCACTTGATGGTCGCATTATTTCAGTAAATATTAATAATATTCGTTATGCTCCATCAGGTGGACAAATTTATAAGACAAGAAATTTTTTTCAAAATGAAATACTCGTACATTTTAATTTTTATTATCCTACAATTCTATTAGGCGACTCCAGCTGTGTTATTCAACAAAAATACTCGAGAAATAATGCCTTAATTTGCAGAATGCTTTTACAGCTTATACATAATTCAAATCTTATAGATACTTGGGATTTTATTTATAAAAATAAAATTGAATACACATTTATCAGAGGCAATTGTGCCACTCGCATTGATAGAGCTTATATATCTAAAAAGCACCAAAAGTTAACCGAAATTAAACCTCTTGCTTTTTCCGATCATTTGGCATATATTCTTTATTTAGAAAAATTAGATAATTTAAAACCGTTATATCGTGGGTAGGGATATTGGAAAATAAAAGAAGCAACTCTAATAGAAGAAAACATAAATAGATTCAAAAATAAAATAATAAAATTAAAAACAAACTATTGGTATAACACAGATTTTATTAAATGGTGGTTCTATATTTTTAAAAGGAAAGTAAAATCTTTTTTTAGGAATATAGAAATATCAGATGCAGTAGATGGGAAAAAGATGATTGAATTCTATCAACGGTCTCTAATAGAACTAAACGAAAAACAAAAACAAGGTGAAAAAGTTTATCAAGAAATACTTGAAATTAAAAATATTATTGTTGAATTAAAACAAAAACAACTAGAAAAAAATTCTTAAATAAAAATAAAGATCAATTTAATAAAAAATATTCACTTTTTGATTTAATGAAAGAAAGAAAAAATAAAGTTTCAATAATATCAAAACTTCAAACTGAAGACCAAATAACATTAACAACATTTAAAGACATACTTCAATATACAACAAACCATTTTAGTGATAAATTTAAAATAAGAGCAATCAAAGATTTTGATTTTCGATGTATGGTAGCACATAAACAAAACAACTATCTGATGTAGATAATAAAATAATATTAAATTCAATAAGAAAAGAAGAAATAAGAATTGTATTAGATGAAGTACTAAAGAAAAAACTCCTGGCACGGTGTATGCTATGAGCTTTACATCTTATTTTGTGATATCATTGGAGACGCATTGACCAAACTACCTAACGATATCTTTACAAATACAACAACTCCTAATAAAGAATTCAAAGAATCAATAACCACTTTTATTCCAAAAATAAAAAACCCAATTACTATAAATCATTGGAGACCCATTTAATTATTAAACACTGATTATAAAATACTAATGAAAATTTTAGCAAATAGATTTCGAATTTTGTGCTTTTATCGCGGGCGAAAAGTATTTCTTTAGATTTAAAATGAATGTTTACGAAATTGCTGAGAAAGTACAAATTGTGAAATGGCATTTTCAAGGCAACACAATTCGACAAATAAGCAGTTTGTTTGAGGCGACATTTCAAAATAGGCCCATACCATCACTCTCAACAGTACATCGTATTGTTCAAAATTTTGAAATTCATGGCTGCGTTTCTCCCAATGAACATAAAAAGGCTCGAGTTAATAATAATCAGAATGAACAAGAAGATAGGGATATTATGATTTGTGCAACTGTGGAAAAAAATCCGTTCAACTTATTAGTCCCAATATGTTGGCTGAAGTAAGGCGATCATTTTACGATCGCTTGGGGTACTGTCTTGCCCAAGAAGGAGGTCTATTTGAGCACCTATTACATTAAAAATAAATTCGTGTTCTTTTATTATCGATTGTAATTTATTATTGTCTATTTGATTCCATTTTATAATTTTTATTTTTTTATCTTAGTTTTGTATTTTTTTTTTAATCTTAGTTATGTAATTTTTTACAGTTCGTTTTTTTTTTTAATGTTCAATGTTTGTTCTCTATTTTTTAATGTTTGTATTGAATTTTTTTCCATTTGAAAACAAAATCAAAGTTGTTTTTTATAAATTTTAAACTGTTGCTGTTCTTACTATTGTGGAGGGTCTCAAAAAAAGAGAAAAAAAAAGAAATGAAAAAGAAAATGAAAATTAATAAAATTAAAAAAAAAAAGAAAAAAACGTCGGCGCCAAGATTCGATCCTACCTCTATCCGCGTAGGTAGACTGGAAGTACACCTTACCCACTGCGCTACGTCAACAACTATTAAAGTTGTTCAAAATTTTGTCTATTATTACAAATTCTGGTTGATTGGTTGCATTATTAAATTTCGCTATTTTCATGTCTGAATATGTTATGTTTGTTCTTCATCTTCATGTATTTATAAAATATTTATTAATACTCAACTCTGTCGTGAAATGTATAAAGTTATTCCAAATATGTCACATGCGAAAGCTTTGGAATGACAGTAGCGGACAAGGGTAAATTGGTCATCAGTTTGATCTATTTGATATATTAACTTAGAAGGCTTTGAAGATTTAACAGAATTTATTAATATGTTAAGAAGAGACATAATGTTAAAAATTTCATTTGACACAATAAGAAAATTCTCAAAAAAAATTTTCGTCTTTTAAGGCGCTTTATTCTGTGATATTCTTTTAGTAGATATAAGTTAATTTTAGTGTACAATACTGTAAAGTTTTTTTGAATAATAAGGTGTTAAAAAAAGTTTAGTGTATGTATTTTATTCCAGAAAAGATTATGTACAGGTATGCCATTTTTTTGTTTAGTTTGAATCTATGGATATTTCTTAGTTAGTACAAATAACAAGGACGTCCACAAAATAAATTATTGCTTAAAAATCAAGAATCAAATATTTATAACTTAAAATTACCGACAGGGCTTTACAGCATATCATTGTAAAATTTTATTTGACTAGTTGTTTACGGATTTTATGAAGTGGTAAGTTATATTTTTTAATTTTCAAACAAAAATGGGTCGTACTTACGTTAATCAACCATTTACAGATATGGAACGTTTCATAGAGACAGACGAATCATTATTTGAAATCGAAGAGTTTTGTAATATTGATTTAGATAACAAATTTCAAACAGATGAAGAGGACGATGGTATTGATAATATTGGTTCGCTTATAGTTAAAAATGACAAAGCTGGTGAAATTATTTAAAAAGAAGAGAGGCTAGAATATAATACTAAAATCAACAACAGCAAAAGTAAAAAAGCAAAAACAACTAAAAAATAAATAAAATTAACAGAAAATTAAAAAAAAAGAAAAGTAGGGACACATATTCCTAAATATAATAATGATACAGGACCGATGATTTTTCAGAATGCCAAATGGCTACAGTTTATTTTTTTGAAATTTATTGAGCCTCTTATTGATAATATTATATTTTAAAGTGTTCCACGTGCTATTTAGCAAAATATAGTTTTATGTATCCAACAAGAAGAGCTGTTATCATTTCTTGGTATAAACAAGCTTATGGAGTACCACGTTTTACCTTCTTGGATGCGCTACTGGTCAACAGTTCCAGACTTAGGCAGTTCCTTATTATCCAGTACCATAAGTAGATTAAGGTTTAATCCCATATTATATAATCTTCACATCAATAATAATTTACAGATTCCTCATCACAATACTGACAAATTGTACAAACTAAAACCAATCATTAAGGCACACAATTCAGAATGTAACTCTTATTACAAAGAAACAAGAGCATTAAGTGTTTATTATTCAATGATTGCCTTCAAAGACAGAAGTTCAATGAAATAATATAATCCAAAAAACCCATGAAGAGAGGGTATAGACTATGGATAATAGCAGACCAGAAGTGGTATATTTTACAATTCGATATATTTAGAGCAAAAGCAAGAGATGAGTTGTAGAATTGGACGTGCCATTTGGAGAGAAAGTCGTTTTAAAACTAAAAACTATCTTAGTAAACACAGGATGGTGTTTTTTTGATACTTATTTTTCTTCTATCCAATTAGTGGAAAAATTAAAAGTTAAAAATACAAAAAATAAAACAAAAAATTTATTCATAGATAAGGAGATAAAAAAATGGGACTACGATTGTCGATTTACTTTATCGGACATTGTGTTCTTCAAGTGGCAGGACAATAAAACAGTGATTTTCAAACTACCATGATATCAAAATAGCCACCGTAAAACGAAAACCGAAGAAACGGCACTTCAGTAAAAATAGTTTGTCCAACTGTATTAAAAGATTACACTAAATTCATGGGCGGAGTTGTGTGGTGGCATAAATTATTCTTGGGGAAAGTAAGATATATATTTTATGAATGCTTTTGTAGTCTAATGCTCTAACCATGAAAAAATTCCTTTATTAGAATTTCGCCTTTCTGTTGCATAACGTTTTCCAATCAGTAGAGAGAAAACTACCTTCTTTAGATGCATTATTAACACTTACTAAAAGAAGAAATACAAACATTTCTGTTTCAGGTGATATCAGTCTTACCAATAGGGGTGTACAGTTACAATGAAGGAAAAGGTTGAAGTTGTACTAGCAACATATATTTAGTCCAGACAACCCGCCAAGTGTAAAACTTGTAATGTTATCTAGTAAAGAAAAAAAAATATCCTGTTTAGTTTTATGAAATAAATATTTAATTTTCACTTTATATACATTTTTTGTATAATTAAAATTAGTACTACCTGATGGAACCCAAAAGTACCACCTACTAAATAACAAAAAAAAAATAATTTTGAAAAATTTCATGGCCCATTTTACTCCTAATTAACAATAAAAACTTTAAATAGCTTGCTAATACTTTTTTCTAAAGGTCATCAAAGGGTTATAATATTATTTGCTTCATTTTCCTGTAGAGGTGTATCAAATATTTTATTAATGGTTATATATATTTTCTAAGATCACAATGCTGGTACATGGGTTAGCAACAACGATGCCCTGTATTTTCTAACAGGGCAGGAGATGATGGATAGTTGTTTGAACAAACTCGATTTTGGCGATTCAATCAGAACAGAACGTGAAATGGAAGTCTGGATTTTGGAAACGGAATGGCTTTTCGACGGTTTTTATTATCCGGAAAGATATGAGTCAAACTTTAAGTTTTGTTGGGAATTGTTCAAGTGAAATTCGATATTTTTTCCTAGAGACACAATAATATCCTCGGCGGTTACATTTAGCGATGGACGTTTTTACATTGTATGAAAAATGATTTGTTTGTCAAAGATAAAAACTAACAGGAAACTGTTGCAAAAAAATTATAATAATCCATTTATTTTGTATTTTGTTTTTGTTAAAATTAGTAGACAATGAATAAATTCATTAGTTCATGACAGTTTACCGACGAAATTGATTTAAAAATGCTAAATCAAACGGAAGGAATTCTTTAATAATAATCTAAATAGAGTCCTCAGCTAAAGCTCTCAAACTTTATTATTTCATTGTAAACAGTGTTGCCATTCGTAGCGACTTGTCGCAAATAATGCGACATTAAAATGGTTTAGTCTAAGTTAGCTAAAATAGCGAATTTTAATTCTTAATACGTTAATTACCAGTGTAGTAAAATAACAAAACGCTATTAGCTATATAGATGATTTTAAACGACGCTATAATGTGGTAGCAATGACCTGCAGATCGCCATCTATCAAAGAAATCAGTGGTCTACAAAAAAACTAAATTTTTTTTGTTAGTTTAATAGGAAAATTTACATTACAAACTGAAAGACCTGCGGGGCAACGGTAGTTTAGTAGGTATAAAAATTACAACTTTAGGGTGGAGCCTAAATACTACAAAATTACTTCCGAGACTAAACAAAACCCGCATTCATTCATAATTTTAACAATTGCCTGTAGATACGAGGGATACGTATTCCAAACTCTAACGCGCGAAATTAAGACAAAGGAACCGAAAAATCCTAACACGTAGTGAGTCAGAGTTACCTAAATTAGGGGAACCAGAATCGTATTTGCTTTTCTCGGTGCATTGCGAGATATTGTTACAACGCAGTTCGATTTATTAGAGGGTTTTACATTATTTTTATATTTTATTTTAGTGAATAGGTTTAGTTAGATTAAATTACATTTAAGAGTATAGAGGTGTGAAATATAAATACAAATAACGAAAAAATAGACGATTGGCTCGAATAAGGTAATATCAATTAATACAGGGTATTTATTTATTGAGTGCCGATACTTAAGGGTGTGAATCCTTTGGGTGTTAAAGTTTAAAAAAAAAAATAACTATTTTATCATAAGTTTCTTATCACTCTAGATATGTTTATGAAATTTTTCCCAAAAAAAGTGTTTCCACTCATGGTGGGTTCCTACCAAATTTCAACAAAATATCAAAAGCAGTTTCAATATACTGGTTTTCATTTTCTTACCCGAAAAGGGTGCTTCGTACGAAAGTACGTCATAAACCAAATTTGCTCCAAAATATATAAGAATTTTAAAGATAATTTTGGTTTTTAGAAAAAGCAGTGGCGCACCATATTTTTTTTCAAAAGTATTCAGTTCAAACCCGGCACGGACGTCACTGGTAAAAATTTAAAAGTCTTTTACGACAAAAGGCGAGATTGAAATTGAAAGTTTAGTCTGTTGGTACATAATATACTATATTTATATATCTAATTTTTATTATTACACTGAATGTGACATGGCTTTTTTTTGCCTTTTTTGGATCAACAAAATATTATTTTAATGATTTAAAATAAACTGCCAGTAATAATAATAATAATAATTATCTGTACTTAAACATATGACAAAAGAAATCATAAAACGACGCATAAAGAAAGCACCAAATTATTAAACTTTTAATTTCCGTAAGATGTGTTGAAAGTAATTTTAAAAAACCGACTTTAAAATCGTGCAGATGTCATCACCACATCTAAACCAAATTTATATGGGACCATCCCGGAAGTACCCCCTTTCCAGCAAAAAAGAATAATTTAAATCGGACATTGTGTTAAAGAATTATCGCTGAACATACATAAAAATATATACAGACGAATTGAGAACCTCCTCCTTTTTGAAGTAGGTTAAAAAGGATATAATAATCTATATTATTTGTAATAACTAAAAAACTACTATGTGGAGTTATATACATCTTCTTAAATTAATCTTATATGTAAAAATGTGGGTTCGGTTCCTAGAAGAGTACCTAGTTCACTGTGCAGCCAAATTTATATTTATGGTACAGAATTTTTTGAATAAATAAAGTTTTAGGTTTAATTAAACACTAAGTTTTATCAGGAATAACATTTTCTGAAAAAAGTAACATAAAAAGCAGACTTTTTGCGAGCCACTATATATATTTTAGAGGACAATCCATATAATCACATAAATGTGATTTATCTTTTAGAATATTGTATATGTTTGTCACAGTTTACTAATTTAAAAAAAAAGAAATATTCTTCAAAAATTTTCTTAAATTTTTTAACACGGTACAAAATACCTTAATCCGTTTAAAGTTATCGAAATATGTAAAGAATTTTAACTCGTTTAAAAAGCGTTTTTTCTCTTTCCATTTCCTATAAAAACTAATAGACCTTTTTGAAATCGGTATTCGGTGACTTTTCTTCTGTTTTATTGCCTTGAATATGATATGATTTACATAAAAAACAAAAACTGACTTATTATTTTTGTGAAATAAAAATATGTTGTTATTTTCACAATTTTTGACTACTTTTCGTTTCTAAAAAAGAAGTACGATGTTCTTCTCTAGATACTAACACATTGTTTAATTGGCTTTTTATTTTTTTTAAATATTCTTTAGTATTTTCATAATTTGGGAAACAGTATAGCATTTAAATTGTGAGTACTCTTTTAATTAATTGTCTGTTTTTTTATCTCACAATGTGTCGATAAGAAGTTATATAGAAAAAGTTAGTATTCAATATCATCCAGACAAAAAACAAAAACATGTTTAAATGAATATATTAAATAAATTATGAGTATTCTTTAACAGAGATATATTTATTTGTATTATGGAAATAATGTTTATGTCAACAAACTTATGTTCGATATTTGTATCAATTTGTAAAAATAACTCTTGTATAATGATAATATTAAATTTAAAGGTTTTAAATAAGGACTTGCAGATATCACAATTCAAAATTATTTTTATTGGCCATAATACTTTTTTTGGAATGAAAGCATTAGTTTCTGTTTTTCAGTTAAGC